TGCTACTCGGCCCCCCGGTGGGATGTGCGGCTGGTCGCCGGCGTGCTGGGGGTTCCCGGGGGCTGGGCACTGGGGTGTGTGCCGGCCTGGCCTGGTGACTGCCTGTTGGGGCTCGGTGCCTCTGGCCCTGTCAGGCTTTGGCCTGGGGGGGGCGCCCTGGGGGCCCGGACCTCTGTGCCCTTTCCTGGATCTGCTTTGGTATGGCGGGTGCCGGTGGGGCCCATGAGTTTGTCGCTGCTGGCCCCGGGGGCTGTGCGTGTGGTCGCTGGGGGGACTCCCACCCAGGGGTGGGTGGGCGGATCTTCCCGTGCGGGTGCCCCTTGGGGCTCTGCGCTCGGGATTCCTCTCGGGCCCTTGGGCTCTGGTCTTCCCTVWGTCTGCCTCGTGTCTTGGGGGTTGGGTCTCGGTCCTCCACAGTCACTATTAAATATTCCATTGGAGAAATCTTGTATACTGTATATACACGCATGTTCACAACTGCTCACAAACAGGTGCTCTGATCCGGGGGGTTCTGACTGGTCACTGAGTGTGTATATATGTCTACGTGTATTTACGGACAATATTTATGAATGTAAGCATGTATGTTTGTATATCTTTATATACTGTATGTATGGGTATGTGTATATTTTAATATATGCCCTCTATGTATTTATCCATTTATTTTTCAGGTGAGCGGACAGATGGTGGGTGTGTGGTCCTGTGTTTTGTTGGTGTATATTTAATATACTTGTAATCGCTATTTCAGTCTTTCTATCTTTTTAATTACTTCTCTCTCTCTGTTTTTCTCTCTATTTTCTCTTCACAAAAAATTCATAATGGTGTGGAGAGGATGGCTATAAGGGGAGAAGGGAGGCCATCCAAAAAGAAAAAAAAACATAATGGTGTGGAGAGGATGGCTATAAGGGGAGAAGGGAGGCCATCCAAAAAAATAGTTTCAACTGAATCCTGTCTCTCTCGCTCTCCATCTCTCTTCCTCAGGTTGCCAATCTTCTCAGGCTCTTTCAGATCCCTCAGATCAGCTATGCTTCAACGAGCGCTAAGCTCAGCGACAAAACCCGCTACGATTACTTCGCCCGAACCGTCCCTCCTGACTTCTACCAGGCCAAAGCCATGGCCGAGATCCTCCGCTTCTTCAACTGGACGTATGTGTCCACTGTGGCATCAGAGGGGGACTACGGTGAAACTGGCATAGAGGCGTTTGAACAAGAGGCTCGCATGAGGAACATTTGTATTGCCACTTCAGAGAAGGTAAATGAGGCCGAATCAAATGAAACGTTCTTTTTTTTTCTCCCTTGTTATACATCGTCAACCTTTTAATCTCAAGTGTGCAAGAAATAATCAACAAGTTTGCTTCTACAAGTTTTGCTTTATGGCTTATCTCATGTTAATCTAAAATAGGATTTAATATTAGTGTAGCGTTATCAGTCGTGAGGCAGAAAATTCAAGCTTATCTCGTTCTTAGCGCTTTCACAGTCATGTTTTTCATCTCATTTGCCACAGAGGTTTAAACTGATGTGAGACTTTAAAACATTTTTTATGCTTTAAAGAATGATCATGAGTTGCACAAGTGAAAAGAGCATTTACATACAGGCAGCTTGACAGCTCGGTGGTTAGGACTACTGCCTCATAGCAAGAAGGTCCTGGTTTCGATCCCTGGTTTGGACCTGGGGTTTTTCTGTGCGGAGTTTGTGGGTTCTCCTCCTGTTTGTGTGGGTTTTCTCCAGGTACTCCGGTTTCCCCCACAGACCAAAAACATGCACAATAGGTTGCCTTCAGGCCTCCCTTGCAAAAGAGATTTGTGATCTCAAAGGAATTTGTCTGCTTAAATAAATAAAACATCATATCTTCTCTTTTATTTTATCTAGGTGGGGCGTTCAAACGCAAAGAAGTCCTATGAGGCCGTGATCCGTCAGCTCCTACAGAAGCCCAATGCCCACGTGGCCGTCCTTTTCCTGCGCAGCGATGACGCCAGAGAGCTTCTTGCAGCTGCTGCCAGGCTGAACACCTCCTTTATATGGGTGGCCAGCGATGGCTGGGGGGCGCAGGAGAGCATCGTCAAGGGAAATGAGGTCACCGCCGAAGGAGCCATCACACTTGAACTGGCGGCCAACCCTATACAGGAATTCAATCGCTACTTTCTCAGTCTGAACCCTGTCAGAAACCATCGCAACCCCTGGTTCAGGGAATTCTGGGAGCAGCGCTTCCAGTGCTCTTTGGGAGCAGGAGGTTTGGGACTGGGAGAGACCCCGCTCCCGCCGTGTGATAAGGACTTGTCAATGGACAAGGGCCACTTTGAGCCCGAGTCCAAGATCATGTTTGTGGTGAACGCGGTGTACGCCATGGCCCATGCCCTCCACAATATGCAGCGGAGCCTGTGCTTCAACACCACCAAGCTGTGTGACAGCATGAAGGCCTTGGATGGGCGCCGACTCTACAGGGATTACATTCTTAATGTCAGCTTCACAGGTAAGAGAGCTCGAGCATGCTGAAGAGAGTGTAGAGTCCTAGATAAGGTGCTGAAAGTGGAAGGAGAGCAAAAAAAAGGAGCACGTTGGAGAGGAGGGCATAAAAGATAAAAATAAATGGACAAGAATTTGAGGGCTGTCCCTACTTAGCAGTCCCCTAATGAACACATGGCTGTTGTCCTTCTCCTAAGTCACAGAACATAAAAAAGTGTTGAAACAAATCCACTTAATTGCTATGTATTGTCAGAGCCAGTTTGCCATTGACACCTATTACCCATGCGTAATTGATGCGGCACTACAAAGTTGCTTTGAGGAATGAGAGCTGCAGTTAATCCGTCAGCCATATTCTTCTTTCTTGCACTAATGAGATTGTGTGTTATAATAGCTCCTATAGCAGGCTGCCTGTCTGTCTGTCAGTCTCTGAAGACTTGGGAGAGAGGAGACGGCGGATTGGCTTGACTGACAGATCACGCACAAAGAGTTATAAATAAACTGCTGCATCTCAGGGACCGAGACAGGTTTAGAGGTGCTTATTCCTTCGCCAACCGTGACCAGAAGCAGACATCAAAACACCCCAGACAAACAACACTAACACGGCGAGCTTTGCCATGGGACATCGGTGAAGGAGGGAGCGCCGGGGATGGCTGGAGGATGAGAGGGGTGGGGTGGGGGGTGGCATTACCCGTGGAGAGGGAGGAGAGAAAACGCTTGCAGATAAGACTGACAGGGACAGGTAAAAGGAAAAACAGAGAGTTTGGCGTCGGGCGAGAGGGAGGAAGCCCATGGAGAAGTGGAAGGAGAGAAAGAACAAAAGAGAGGGATGAAGCAATCCTCGAGTGGGACAGCAAACGTCAGCGAAAGAAGAAGAATCACTTTGAAATTTCGCATCTTCATTTATGCAATGAATCAAGGGAAATGAGTTTTCTGAGCATGCTCTGTGGGTAGATTATGGGTAGATAGATGGATGGATAGATGGATGGAAAGGTAGCTAGATAGATGAGTAGATTAAAAAAGCTTACAAATGAGTTTTTACACAATCCCATGCAATGTTGAGATGTGACGTAGCTCAGAATGTGTTCAGGATGACTCTCCACTACGACTAAAACTAGAGGAAATTTGGGATTCGAGAAAAGCTGCTTTCTTAACTATCAATGTCTTTCCCTAGTTTCACTTATTCTTCTGTTCCTCCTTCTATTTACTGCCAATCAGATGAAGCACAGAGCTGTCAGATAAAATTAAATTATTGTTCAGCTGTATCGTTATAACAAGACAACTAACTCATTATATCAGGAAACCATCCTGTTATAACATGTTACGGTTTTATGGTATGGCATCCCTTTCACAGACATTTGGTCACCTTGATGAAAAATGATAGAAAAATGGAGACTGAGCCACTTTATGCATTTTTACAAAGTTTTATGTTGTGAGCAAAGTACAAAGCACCTTTTGGGGGTTTTGCTCAGGGTTGCTGACTCAGTCGGTCCAAAATACAGGAAAGCTCCAGGTTTAACGACACAACCTGCACAATATTTCTTACTTCCCCAACAAGTTCCATCCACCTAAATGAGATTTAATCTTTTTTCTGCTATTTCCATGCAACATTATGGATTAAAAAACAGATTTAATCAAAGCATTTTTAACAACTTTTCAGCTAGTGATTGCCTCGGTAAACAGAACGATGAAATGTAAATATAAACAAACGTGTTGAGATAGTCAAAACTTTCTAGGATTTACCTCTTCAGAAAATAATTGTTGAAGAACAAATTTTTTGAAAAAAAATGTAAATCAAGACTATACTCTTCATAAACACTACATGTTTTATTTCACAATGTTTCACATTTCTTATTTTAGCCTTGTTTTCAATGGTTAGGCCAAATGTGCCATTAGTTTGATAATATATTTGTGGCAGTTTTTAGATTTATATTAATTTACTATAAAAATATAGTCATGCACCATGCTAAGAATAGCCTATATCTTGTGTTAAACTCAGTAAACGGCCAACGAAAGCTGCTACACTCTAGTGTCATGGGTCTCCCTTCACTTAAGGGGGTAGCACGAGTACAACAGTAATTTAAATGTCCTCAGTGTTTCATATGATCTTTGCATTTGGCCATTTCAGTAATGTCCAGCTTGAGGTGCTAGAAAATGACTTCCTGCTTGCCGTAACGACGGCTCTGATTGCAGGCTTCAGTCAGCACACGAGAGAAAGAGCATCCCACACGGGACACTTCCATTAATCTGAAAATATGGGACATCCCAGCAAATACAGGACAGTTGACAACCCTGACTTTAAAAACACTACTCAAAACCCTGACACGTTTTAACAGGATGGTTATCTTGCTTTTACAACATAGTTTATTGTTATAACACAGCTCAACAATAAATTTGTCGTGTGGTCGCTCTACGCTTCTGGAGGTATCTGTCTTCATTCACAGAATCTGTACTGATGAGAGTTCGTCAGTGCTAGTTTACCTGAAGAAAACAATAGCTTTTTTTTCACTGTTGCTCGCTCCTGAGGAACTCCTGCTGGCTGCTCCCGCTCTCTGCTGTACGTACTGTACACATCCTTCCACCTACAGTGTGTGAAGAAGAAGCTGAGGTGAACTGAGGTTTAACACCGAGTGTAATTTCTGCAGCATCCGCAGTGCTCTCAGTCTGAACTGGAAACTCTTCGAATCTCTCGTGCCTCCTTTCTCTTTTATCCATGCATGATCATTGCATTATTTTTATATTACATCAAAGTTTAATCTCTCTGTGTGGGTATGTGTGTGTGTGTGTGTGTGTGTGTGTGTTGTAGATATGCAAACTCAGTTGCTGCTCTCATTAGATTTGCTAAACAACAGACTTTGCTGCTTTTAGGCTGTTTTGTTGTGCTTTTTCTTTCTTTTTTTTACAGTGGGAGAATATTTTCATTCGCAGCTCTCTTCATCTAGTCTCATCTCGCTAGTTGCTATGGTAATAAAGCCGACACTATTGCCAACTGTTAAGGTGATCTGGTAGATCACAGGAACTGCTCCGTACCAACTCACAGTAGACAAAGAGGAGATGTTTGTGCATTTTTATGAGTTCTCGCTGCCCACTTTAAACACAAAAACCCAGACGTACATGTTGCAAAAAAAAGACACACATCGAGACAAAACATGCAAAAAAAGTCAGCTTTTTTTAACAAGAGGTGGCTTGAAATGCTCGCTTTTTTGCCAGCGTGAAATTGCAGACACCCCCAACCCACACACTTCTCAGAGCCATCATTCAACTCCCACCCACCTCCCCAGTCTGCAGCAAACAGATCAGTATATACACACATGCATGCAGGCTTCTGTTCAAATAGTGGTGATAGATGTGATACCCCCCCCACCCCCCGCATGGTGTGTGTGTGTGTGTGTGTGTGTGTGTGTGTGTGTGTGTGTGTGTGTGTGTGTGTGTGTGTGTGTGTGTGTGT